TTGAGGACTTTGATTAAAATCACTTCAAATTTCATAGCTTCCCTTTTTAGTTTGTTTATGAAAATAACAATTATGGTTTTAAAATTTTGTTTTCATTGTTGCTTGCTTAAATTAAGTTGACTAAGTGTTTAAAGGTATCCCTGTTATATGTTGTTGGTGAGAGACAAGGGGGTTTCTGATCTTGGGAAGTTTATGTGTGGAATAGAGAGATGTACAGACAGGTATTTGACATGAAAGAGAGCATTCATTAGATAAATTCTTTGCACTCAAAGAACCATTAGAAAACAGATGCCAGATTTGGTTATAAAGACATTGTTCTACAGCCTGAATGCTCAACGCTTTTGGTCTAGACCTAGATCTTTCATGTAGTTTTCAGTCAAGTAAACACATAAATGAATTCAGTTCCAAGTTATATGAAGGAGGTTAAAAAAGTGATTTATTAGAAAGGGTGTTAGAAGGAACTATTAATTGTCAGATGAAAGAATGCTTCACCAGTAGGTCATATTGGAGCAGAGATGTTGAATGATGTTTAAGGAGATAGCTTTCCAAGTGCAGGAAAGTTCTGTGTAGAGAAACTGTGGTAAACATACATTCAGATATTTTAAAGGACAGAAGGAAGCCCACTATATCTGGAGGACAGTAAGTAAAGGAAATGGAAGGATAGGGGCTAATGTGGGAGCTGACAGGTGTCAATCATATTGAAGTGGAGGAGTAATGAGTTTGGTTTTTATTCACATTGCAATGTGAGGATACAAAAATGATTCCTTTCATGTTTTGAAAAATTTATCCCCCTGCCTGTAGAAACTTTTGTATAACTGCTAGTGTGGAACCCATGAAACCAGTTGAGATTACTTTGGTTGTTCTCTGTAGAAACAACCAGAGTTTGATTAAAAAAAATATGGTGTGTGAAAAGAAGTGGTTGATTGAAGAAACAGCTTAGCAGTAGACAAGAATTGCTGGTGAGTTACAAAAGAAAGTGATCCCTGACTTCTTAGTTTTAGCACATGATATTTACACTTAACTAGATGTAGTAAAGTGGTTTTAAAAGAAGGAAAGAAAATATAGCAAGATAGTACTAAAAATAAGAAAAAGGTATTGTTGTATATATATGAGCTACAGAAATTATTTAGACACATAAATTTTAGAATAAAAAGATGTCCCAAAGCAGCTGGGGCCCAAATTCTGATTGTAGTCTTCAGTTCTTTCTCTACCAGAGATCTCGTTTGTTGCTCCTTAAGCTGTCTGGTTGTGAAACTATAATACTGTATGTTTTCTTTAGTTTTTTCATACCAACAGTTTCTGGCAAGTTCTTTTTGTTTCTCCTGGGAAAGTCTCATTCAATCCCAAGAACTCACTGTTCTGCACAGTGTTTTGGAACCTTGTTGCTATTCAAAATAATCTTAAGAACACACAAAAATACTTTCCTTATTAGAAGAGAATACTACCTATGCTTTTCTACTCTTCTCCTCTTACATAGTGATATTATTCTCTCTGATTGTGGGGGGGCGAGAATGGAGGAGAGCCCTTTGTGGTACTTAATTTTGTCTTGTTTTGTTGCAGGCATAATGTGCCCAGATATTTGGCTGCACATTATTTTTTTAGTGATCCTGAATGAGATTACCATTTGAAGCAAGAGACAGAGTAAAGCAGTTTACCCTTCCTCAAGCAATCTACCGAGGACCTGTATAGAACAAAGGATGAAGAATAGAAAATTCACTATAGGCCTGATTATGTTGAGCTGACACATAGGTCTTCTAACTTCAGACTTGTGCTTATATTGGCTTCTAAACCATCTTCCTTCCTGATTCTTAAACTCTGATATAGACTGGAATACACACAATTGGCTCCCCTACTTTTCAGATTTTTGGGTTCAGATCTTGGCTCTCTTGGGCTGAATTTTTAGCCTCAATTATTGCTATCTATCTATCTATCTAGCAATCTATCTACCTCTCATAACATGCATAGTTGTAAAGAAAGAGTAATATAGATGAGATGAATTTGATATAGATGTCATCAGTATCACAATGCAATTCTTATACAATTTATGCTAACACAAATTAAATTAAAATATTATGCTCCATAAAATATATATGTGCAAACATAGACATTTTTGTTATTAAGCCTTGATATAGCTAAATCACAATTAAATATTATGATCTCTTATTAAATTTGATAGATCAGTTATCTGGACCCAGAACAATAGAAAAAAAGTTTATAAACCAGAATGAAGTATGTACTTTCAAGGCTGTAAGAACACAGTGTTCTGTACATTTAGGAAGACTGAGGCGAATAATATGTCAACTAGGCAGTTGACTCCATGTAACCTATTGGGAAATTTGCCACTATATCATGTCAGTAGACAAAGGTTTGATGGTTTTTAGTGCTAGCACTCACTTCTTCTTTCCTGCTACTGTGTGGTAAATTCATTATTATCACATACTATATTAGAGACTGTAGCAGTATCAGGCTTCATTGCAAAAAAGCCTTATTTTTCAGAAAAATTTTATGAAAATGAGGTGTCAGCTTTAATTAACCTTCCTTCTTCCCTTTCTTTTTCCTTCCTTCTCTTTTACCCTCCCTCCCTTCCTCCCTCCCTTCCTCCATTCTTCCCTTCCTCTCTCCTTCCCTCCCTCCCTCCCTACCTCCCTCCCTTCCCTCCTTTCTTCCTATTAGTTTGAACTCAGGGCTTCATGCTTACTATACACAGTATTGTAATGATCAGCCATTTCAACCCTTTTGGTGAATTTTGAGATAAAGAACCAGTTTCTGTGTACCAGGTGTCCAGCTGGACCATGGCTTTCTAGTTTTGCTTTGCTCTCATAGTTGGAATGACAGGTGTGCCACCACACCACATCCACTTTCTTTCAGTTGAGATGGAGTATTGCAAACTTTTCTGCCTAGCCAGGCCTAAAACTGTGAACCTTCAGATTTCAGCCTCCCATGCAGCGGAGACAGTAGGTGCATGCCACTATACCTAGCTGTTGATTGAGAAGACAGTCTCCTAGGTATGCTCAGGCTGACCAGACCATTCTAATCTTCTCCATCTCAACTACCTAAGTATGGAGGATTGTAACTGTGAGCCACTACCACCTGGTTTGCTCTGTTTTTCTTTATCATTTAACTTCTCTTTTGAGGGACATTGGAATACTGAAATAATTTGGATAAGCTTTTATTTTGTGACTCTTGCCTTTCTATTTATCAAAATTTGAAGACCTACAAATTACTTATCCCAATTCTTCAATAGATAGCCTAAAATGCAAATTGCTAAATGCTCTTAATGATTAATGTCATATAATTAAAATGGGACACAAAGCATATTTTATTACAAAATTTATTTTTATCAAAGGAGAAATGACTGTTATGAAGCTAGTACGTCATTTAGCAATCATTACATTAAAATTTATCATCAGAGGCCATATTGACACAAACTTGTAAACGTGATTTAGATAGACTACAGTAACTGTACATCACTGAAAAAAATGTTATAGCAATATAGAAATGGGTAAAAAAAAAAAGTAAGGCCTGAAAACATAAATAACTGACCTCGGATGATAGTCCTGATACTAGGTAAGAGCAATAATTGGTTTGGGAGACATCTTGTGAAATCAGCTCTTGCTTCTAGAATGTAAATATTAAATAATAGAAAAATCTGTTCTGTAAATTAGATTAGGAAATAGGATATCCTGTTATAAAATGATACAGTCTTTACAAAAATATACACAGATTATTTATCTTATTAATGTGTTACATTTGGGAATCAAGAAGAAAAAGAAAACAAAAAGAATTCCAGCTGTCAGAAAAGATGAGAACTTGAAGATTGAAACTTGAAGTGAACAATAATACCATCCATTGCTTTTGTAGTTTGTGTACATAATAAAGAGGTAGAAAAAACTCTAGAACCACAGTTCACCACTCCATAGGTATTGGTCAGATTTGACATCTGTTTGCTGACATAGTTGACTTTCTTCTCTCTTCCACAATTCAAACTTCTTGCTTGAGATTTGATGAACCAGTTAAGAAGAGTAGTCATTGCTTGTTTGATGTGTCTTAGGTATATGTTATAGCTTTCTGGTGAGAATACAGAGATTGGATTAGTAGTTAGAGATACAACTGAGTTTTATATCATTAATACCTTTTCGCTAAAAAGGGGGGGGTGTTTATGACAGAACTGTTAATCTACATTAAATATGACAGACTGGTTTATTGGTATTTTGTGTGCTATATGATCTCTGTTAAGCCAACTGTTGAATGAAAAAACTGCTTTTCCTGGATAGGCTCTTGAATTCATTTAGCCATCCAGTTTTGAAATCCTGGTTTTTTTGCTCGACACTATGTAATTTTGCCTGCAGTGAAATCTGCAGTAAGTTGTGCAAAGATTCAACATCACCTCCTTATTCTTTGTGACCTCATGATACACGACCCAAAGATTGTGTAATAGGTTAGTCTCATGCTCAGATTTTGCTGCCTTAGAACACCATAGAACATTGCAGAATTGTAGCTGATAGGTAATGGGCTGACAACTTAGTGGGTGAGAATATACCCAAGTGTTAGTTTCAGAAAACTTTAACATTAGCCTGTATCCTAACTCTAGAAGTTGGGCAGAGGTTTAAAGTGATTAATAAATGGAAATTGTCCAAATAATAATCTTGGGTTTTGAAATCTACAATAAACTCATTGCCTGTACAGTCTGATTTCTGTGCCTTAATATTCTGAAGAGGGTAAAAAGAAAGGTGTTTTTTCTATCTTTATCAGTTTTAGGAGGACTAAAGGACTAATGAGACCTGAATTCGAACTAGATTCTACCTGTTCACTCAGAAGTTTTTTTTTTTTTTAATTTTTTGATGCTGGACTTGGTGCTGTCCCTTAGCTCGTTCAGTTGAGGCTGCACTTTACCATGTTAGCCACAGCTCCACCTCAGGACTGGTATCTTTTAATTGTCTTACATTCCAATTTGGCTTACCTATTCATGTAATTTTGTATTATTTGTGATCTCATTTCAGGTTCATATATGATAGTGGATTCTTCAAATCATGACCCTGGAGAAAAAGCTCGACTTCAGCTGCCCACAATGAAGGAGAATGACACTCACTGCATTGATTTCAGTTACTTGTTATATAGCCAAAATGGGTTGAATCCTGGCACTTTGAACATATTAGTGAGGGTGAATAAAGGACCTCTTGCTAATCCAATTTGGAATGTGACTGGATTCACTGGGAGAGATTGGCTTCGAGCTGAGCTAGCAGTAAGCACCTTTTGGCCCAATGAATATCAGGTAATAATCTTGGATTTTCTGCATTATTGTCTTTAATATTGGATGTTGCTCTATGTATAATTTGTAGACATAAACATTGGCCCCACAGTATGAAAGAGTTTGTCCCTTTTCTCTTCCCTTACCATTATTCTTTCAATATGTTGGCATAAAACCTACTTGGTGGAGAAAATATTTCCACACATAGGGGGAAAAATGTAGGTTGAGGTCCAAAATTTGTTTTGTGTTTGGCAAAAACTACTTATTGGAAATCATATTTCTATGGCTTTGTTCAGAAAGAAAAAGTCTCTTTTGATTTGACTGTAATATTTGGACTAAATTGGTATACTGATTTCTTGAAAATAACATTTGGAAAATGAACATGAAACAGTATTTCATGAAATGCTATCTTGAGGGGGAGGCTTTTTTGATTGATTATTTATATTTTTGTCAACTAAACGGAGTATAAAAATAAGCAAACTAAAAAGACAAGTTGTCTATACATCTTTGAATTTTTCCCTCCAGAAATGCTTCATCTTCTTATGATTAAATCAGACCATGAATAACATAAATAAATGATGTAGGTTTATCTGACTGCTTTTTACAACACCACCGCCAAAAACCTCATAAAAGAACCCATTTACCATTTTGAAGACTTGTTCAGTAACATTGCCTGTGAGGTTCAGTACCTGGAAATAGTTTCTTTTGTAAAACTGTGTGTGTGTGTGTGTGTGTGTGTGTGTGTGTGTGTGTTAGACCATGAGATTTAAATGTTAATAGAATTGCTAATTTTTGGCCTACTATAGAAACTAATGACCCTGTCTTCATTCAACATTTTACTTTATGATTGTCAGTTCTTAGCATATAAGGTAATAACAGTTTTATTTGTGTTTTTTTTTAATGTCTGTTTCTTCAAGTTAGGCTTGTTTTATTTCCTGAAGATGACATACTCAATGCTTTTTCAATGCATTTTCTTGAGATGGTATTTTTTTCTGTCTTATTTAAGGTTTCTTACATCCTCGGTATGGCCCTCATGGGTAAAGTTCTCATTTTGGGGACAAGTGTCATGAGATATCTGTGGATTTTCATTCAGTACTTGTTAACTCTATCATTCTTGAAAAGAAGAATATGGCACAAGGGGTGTGTGTGTGTATGTGTGTGTGTGTGTGTGTGTGTGTGTGTGTGTATGTGTGTAACTTACACTAAAGCAATGACTGTAAGATAAGAACACTTGGATCTGACTTCTGACTTTAGTAGTTTGATAACTGTCATCACTGGGTCACTTCACAATGCATTATCAGCATACTGACTTCATGAGAGTCTCGCTTTGAAGCTTAGCGTAACACTATAGAAGAATCTGTTATTCAGCAGAATAAAACTGTCAACATTGATATTCTATTAAATTAATCCCCCCTAAATAAGGAAAGTTAACAACATCATTACAGATGTGAGGGCTGGAATCTGATTGTCTGTATTCAAACATGTTGGTTTTTTGCTTCCTGTGTAGATAGTTTTTGATGTTTTAGGAATCATACTCCTTTAAAAACTAATCAACATAGAAAAAAGTTTTGATAAACCCAACTGTGGCCTCTGTTTTCCCCTTTCATAACTAAGGAAGGACCTTATCATAGCCATTTTCCCTCTTTTAAAAGATCAATTTCTGAGTCATTGATATTAATTAAACTCTTATGGTACAAATGAAATATTAGTTTTCATATTGAGAAATAGTGCCTCAAACTGGGGGAGTGAGTCTTTGTTTAGTCTCAGTTTATATCAGGGAGCTTTCTGTGGACTTGTGAAGCAAACTATGTCTGTATTTTTATCATTCATGTTTTTGTTTATTTATAGTGGTTTTTTACTTATCTAGTATTCTCTCAACTGAACCATACCCATAGCCCCTCCTGCTTCAGTTATTTTTTAATAGGGTCTTGCATTTTTTTCCTGGGCTGGATTGCACTGTTATCCCCTCCTTAGGCCCCTTGTGTAGCTGAACAAATATGCACCACCATTCCTAGCTTTATTGGTTTTGATGGGGTGTTGCTAACATCGCACAGCTAGCCTCAATGCAATCACCCCCAAATTCCACCTTCTGAGTAAAGGGGATTTAAAGGGATTAGCCACTGTACCTGGCCTCCAGAAACGTCTTGCATAAACAGATTTAAAAATTATTTTCTAAGAAAAAAGAGAATTTAGAGAGAAAATAGCCTATCCTTAGAGATAAAAACCACTACATACCTGTTGTTTTTTTTTTTAAATTTTATTTTATTTTATTTGAGAACATACTGTACAGAGGGGTTACAATTACATGGGCAGGATAATGCATACATTTCTTACCAAGCATTGCAGCCTCCTCCTTTGTTTACCCTTCACCTCCCTTCCCAGCCTCCCCCCTCCCCCCCACCCAATCATACTCTCCCCTACCCCCCCCCCCCCCCCGACATTGTAAAGCTGGTTTTGACATGACATTTTGTACTTCTCATTGTTGCAACAGGTCCACCTGAATCCTTAAACGACTTGTTTGTCCCCATCTCCTCCACATGTTATACTGACATCAAATATAGTGAAAGCGGGGGTTACACTGTGGGGGAGGGACATACAAAGCAACAAAGAAATAATCTTATAAATGCGTTAGAAATACATGCATGAAAGAAACAAAAACATTAAAATACATATTTAAGGGTTCGTTTTCCTAACATCACATTATCTGACCTTTTCCGCTTGACTCATACCTATACTAGATATTTCAAATAAGGGAAACCATGGGACCTATGTTTCTTTGGGCCTGGCTTACTTCACTTAATATAATTTTTTCCAAGCCTTTCCATTTCCTAACAAATGGGGAAATACATGCCTGTTTTGAACAAAGAAAATTTGAGGTCTCCAACTAGATTCATATATTGTTTATTTAAAAAATTAGAACATGTGATTAGACGTGCCAGGATGAATTATCCTCAGATTTGGACAAATGTATTCAAAGAAATGATCCATTGAATTCTGTAATTTGGTATTTCTACTTTCATTTTGTTGTTACTGTAGTTTGCACAAGTCCATTCATTGCTCTTTATGGCTAGTCCAACTCATGCAAAAGTACTGGCCTTATCATATAGCGAACTGATTTTTTTCCAGCCACTTTTAAGCAAAAGAAAATCATTGACTATATTCTTTTCATAGCATTTTTCCATTACAGTAATATACCAATACATAAAGCACTGTTTCTCACCTTTGCATTCAGAATAACAAATATCTTTTCATCTCAGCTTTCTAATAATAGAAATTAGATGTTTCCGTCATTGTTGCAAGATACCATTTCATGTGTTTTTATAGGATAAAGGCTGATATCTAGATTTTAAGTTGATTGTTAAATAGAAGATGAAGTATTAAATCTAAGTAAAAAAAGATATTATGTAAGTTAATATGTATATATTATACAGATAATATATAAATTTTAATGCATAATCTATCACTATACCTTAATACATGTATATTAATTATATTTCATCAATTATATTAACAAAATTATTTATAATATATTGAATTATATTATTATAATTGATAATAGTATATCCATCATAGAATATCATATACATAATATTATAATGTAACACATCTCATCATTACATTATAAATGAAAATCTGCATACCTTTAAAAGAGTAATTTTCTCCACTCTAGAAAACTGCCCCGTCTTGTATGCATAAAACCAAGTTCTGCTTTGGATTAAATCTATTACTTTCTTACTGAACAGTGAGGTTGTTACTAAATGAGGCAGACAGACGACGCACATAACTTTCAAAACTATTAGAGGAAACCTAATCTGCTGTTTTCCATTAACTGGGTGCACATCATTAATCACAAAAATGGTGCGTGATGAAAACTACAGGGGTTTGGCCAGAAATTGGAAAAGTGACAGTTTAGCAGAAAATCCCTCACCCTCTTCTCCAATTCACTGAAAAACAGGCTCTACACTTTTGCAATCCATTCTCTTCCTAACGTTTTCTTTCTCTTATTTGAAGAAATATAGGAACAGTAGAAGGAACTTTCTAGTTTTGTCTCCTTTATTAAAGGGTTTTATTAACGTGTATCCAACAGATTTTGGCAGTAGAAACCTTGATACATTCCAGAAATCCTGCTGGCTTTGGATCTAGTAAAAGATTGCGACTTAACCCAAGGGACCATTTCCCTGAAAAAGAAAGGGGTAGGGGACTTGAAAAGATCTAGAGGCACAGGGATCTATGTAAGGTCAGGCTCTTAAGTGGTCCTGCGAGGAATTAGGAGAGATTAGTCCTGTTATATCTCCTAGGATTTCCCCAAGTTTTGTTAGTCTTCTTTAACCTATATTTAGTCACATTTTGAAAAGGAAGGGGAAAAGAATATTCTGTCCTAGACATGCCCTACAGATGTACCTTCTTAATTTGTAAGCAGTGCAAGTGATTCTGGCTCATTATTTTTAGTGTTGAGCAATATTTTAGATATTGTTGTCTAATCAATACTCATTCTCCTCCTCATTTCTATATTGACAGGATTTCATTTGCTTTTCTTTTCTTCCCCATTCCTTTCTGAGATAGGAGTGGTTTTATATGCCTCTAGTTAATGAGTTAGAAGGAAATTTTGCCAGGGGAAATCATGCCAGAGAGAGGCAAGTTACTGCATGAGCCCGTGATGCCTTGAACTAGTGAAGGCATCTTGTCACTATGAAGAAATGAATAGTTTACCCATGATGGTGTTAGAAAAATGTGTGACAGAGCCTATGCCATACTCTTCAACAAAGTAGCAGCAATGATAAAAATAGTATCACTTAGCCATGTGCCAGTGGCTCAAGCCTGTAATCGTAGCTACTGAGGAGGCTGTGATCTGAGGATCACAGTTCAAAGCCATCCCCAGCAGGAAAGTCTGTGAGACTCTTATCTCCAATAAACTACTAGAAAACCAGAAGTGGCGCTGTGGCTCAAGCCGTAAAGTGCACTCCTTGAGTTGAAGAGTGTAGGGATAGTGCCCAAGCCCAGAGATCAAGCCCTAGGACCAATCA